ACTACTTAGGTCTTGCATTGCAGACAAAAAAGAGTGAAGAGTTGGGACAGTTGGGAGTCTTTATATGTACACATGTCATTTCATTATTGGTTTGATTTTCTTACACATTCTCAGTAAGAACTTTATCGCAATTATGAACTAGTATATAAGTATATGTTGGACAAAAAAGAAACACATGTTTTCGTATTAGTTCATCAAACTCAAAATCTCGTCAAACAAGAAACAAAATCAACACAAAAGAAACAAATCGAGTCGGTCGCAGGAGTTGTTTGACGCCTTGAACTTCGCGGCATTTTACCTCCACGAAGCGCTGCCCGATGCGCCTGGCGGACGCGTCCTGTCGCCCGGTACAGTCAAAGCGGATCCGTTGGACGTGATCCGCGGGGGGCGTTTTGGTGGCCATATGGTGCGCTAGAGACGCTATAGTTATAGTTTTGTTCTCGTTAAGTATTAATATTGATGTTTTTTAGAATGTTGGAGAGGGCGTTGTAGGAGTATAAGAAGGCTGGTGAAGATTGTGGATAGCCTAGACGAAAACAATGCCTTAGAGCCTTACGGCCTACGCCTTGAAGCCGGCTTCAAGGATCTTCAAGTCTAGGCTTTCCCATTTCAAACCATCCCAGTTCCACCATACAAGTGAACCTCAACTGATTCTTAGAGAAGTTCCTGGGTCCTCTGCCTTAGGTGGTGATGACTCTGGGGGAACTTTCCAACATATTCCTCAGCTAACAGTTGTTTCTGTGGAGAAATAATCCGACAGGCCCTGCCTCTCTTGGGGATCAAACCATGGATCAACCACAAGGTTGATCGAAGCAACCGCAACTTCGAGATGTTAAGAACACAGAAGTGCACTTCTGGGATCATTTATTTGTGTGTGTAATGTGTATTAGAAAAGAGAGAACACAGAACGACAGACCCCCCCTGGCCGGGTGGTGGTCTATTTTCGGTCGAACCGGAGGGCAGACCCGGACGAGCGAAAACGTCGGTCCGGACACGACGAGTCCGACGTCGCCTCACCGGACGATCGATCGTACTGGGGCGGCATCTATGCCGATGGTTTTTTTCCTGTTTGGAGATGTTTGGCGTCAGGTATTTGGACACGGACGTGGTGGTGACATCGGATTTGGCTGAGCTGGCCTCGTTCAATTTGCACGGCTTTGCAGCTGGTGCAGCAGAGGATTGCTCACAGCGGATGGGCAACTGGGCAGATGGGTGGAGGCCCAGCCATGGGCTGAGACCCTTTTGGATGCATGTCTATAGTTACTCTAAATACTCAAGATTAAGTACAGGCAACCCACGAGGTTTGGAAGATGCATTTTAATTAATCACCAGTTGAATGCGATGTCAATATGTGTGAGGGCGATGTGTTTGGGCAGGAAGGTTGCTTGGGAATGAAGTTTGATGACGTTTGCTTTGCAATCAGTGTGAGGGGATGTGACCGTCATCAGTTCAATATATGTCAATTCCTTGCCATTAACTGGTCGATATAGATTGTGTGGGTGTTATTGGTTCGTTGGTGGGTGGGCTGGGTTGGTTGGGTTGGTTGGGTTGGGTTTGTGGGTTGGTGGGTTGGTTGGCTGGTTGGTTGGTTCTGATTATGTGTTATTGGTTGTTGTGGAATCGACAACAGATTTCCCACCAGTTCTGGTTGTGTTTCCACGTTCTCGGGCCATGGCGCCTGGCAGATCGCTGTTTGCTCCATTGGCTGAGGCAAATATTTGGACTTTGATCGCATGCGGTCCAAGGCGCTCCAAAGTGAGCTGCCAAAAGGGCTCCAAGCCAGAAAGAAGGGCCACCTTGGTTTCAAAGGAAAAGGAGGGTTGTTTTGGTGCTTGGGAGCTGGTTTGGTACCCTTGGAGAAGGGGAGCCGGATGCAGAGTAGAATCGGATATTGCCAAGGGATTCTGTGAAGACTTGAAGGGAGATGTTCACCCATTGGAAATTGGTTGGGGCCTCGTACTCGAGAGAGGCTGGCATGTCTAGGATGCTCTTTGGAGAAGTGGATGAAGGGGGTAGGCTTGACATGGACTCCACCTGGGGTGCAGCTTCCATTTCTGGGACCCAGCAGTGAAACTTGGACCCAGGCAAGAATTGGCTACCAAGAAGCGCGTGCGTATGCATCAGGGAGTATCGTCGATCTCCGGTCCTGGCCGTTGTTGCCCCAAACTGAAGCGGGTGCAAAGCAAGTGAGGTAACATGTTATAATGAGAGACAACATGTTCAGATATTGCATAAATCCATAATAATTTATCCTTACAGCAGCACTTACAATATAATTCACTGGCATTTGCTCATTACGTATAGTTGTATATATATATATATATATCTTACATAATATCAAAAGCATATGCCAATCTCAAACACTGTCAACTACTGCTTGGGCATACCTATTTGTGTCAAGTGTTTGCATACAAAGGTCAAAGTACATGATGAGCACAGGAAAGGGGGAGAGAAGGGGATAGCACTGTAACAGTATGCAATTTGACAGTAACTGACATTGGTTATTGACTTTATCAATATCACGCTCCATTGAATAGTTTCGTTTGTTCTTCTCAATGAAAAAGGATCTGCTTGAGAGCATCTAAGCCTGTTCAGCTCCCTCCTTGGTTGGATGATGTCTCCAGGCATAAATTCGTTCGTCTGGCGAAACGGGAAACGAAAAGAACAGCAAACAACGCCAAGGTTGTGTGATCAATCGTGGCGTGGTGTTGTTGGACCTTGCAGTTTGGAAGTCTCAGAACATCACGGGCATCATTGAAGAATTGGTGCGATTGCATCTCACCAAAGGCGCCCTATGTTTCTTTTTTTGTTCGGCCGGGCGGAGGTAGAAACACGGGTGACTGGAACCTGGGTCGAGAGATTTGGAAGCAAAATGGATCGGAGCTTGATATACTGTATAATGATTTGAGGATATTCAGATCAATCGATGCGTGTGTGTTTGTTTTTCTTCGGCTCGTGTCACAACTTTTGAAAAGTACTCTCAGCGTTCATGGGGAACTCTATGCACCAACTGTATTTAATCTAAGATACTCACTCATGGACTCTATGACTCACCTGAACCGAAACGCGTTCGGTTCAGGAAAAGGCCCTCTGTGGCGCGCGGGCGTCTCCCAGCCGCCCTTCCTGATCGCGCTGGCGGGAAAGTACTATGACCTGGGTGCGGAGTTCAACGTGCGCGGTCTGGGCCGTGGAGATATTGCGCCTGAAGAGGTGGGGACGGCGTTGGAGGATTCGCTGGGGAGAGAGCGTGGTTTCTTTACGAATCGGACGGTTGAGAGGTTGAGAAGGGTTCCCAGACACTCCATGAAAAACCTTATACACAGGCCTATATCATGGCATATTGAACCTCACATTGCCGGTGGGGGGAAAAAAGGGGTCTCTTTCGGTCAATGCTTTTCTTTCCATGAAAGCCAGGCAGGGGCCTCTCTGTGTTCAAACGTGTTCAGGCGCCGGGGTCTCAGCCTTGGCGCCTTGGCTCGCCAGGTGGACTTCCACAAAAAGAGGAGGCAGTGCCTTGGGCGGTGACGATCCGATAGTGACCAAAGGAAGGCGGTGCCAACGAAGGCTTTTTGGAAGACCATGTTTCAAGGCCAGTTAGTTGAACTCACTAGTTCATGTCATTGCCTGAGGTAAGTGTTTAGGACATACTTCTATTCTGTGTGGTCCTGGTTTCAGATGTTAACTCGCATGATTTCCTCTAGATTCCAACTGATTCACTCGCATGATTTCCTCTAGATTCCAACTGATTCACTCCCATGATTTCCTCTAGGTTCCAATTGATTCCCTCCGGAATTCAATTTCCAGATTTCTTATGATTTCGTTTTTGGACATTCCAAGTCCACTTAGAGTCCTAGTGTTCCGTTATATATCTTACTGTCGTTTTGCCAAATGGTTTATGTTCAATTGAAAGCAACATAACATTGATAACAATTTAGGAATCCAAGCTTGTTGTCTTGTCAAGCTCCTTCTTTGCCTTCTTGGATTCCTTTTGATTTCTTGTTGACATCTATGATCTACAGCAAGAGGTTGGCTGGTGTTCAAACGTGTTTGATAGAATAATGAGCCGACAGCCAAAGGTGTTTCAAGGTTGGTATAATGAGTTGTTGTTTTTTGGGGTTGTTCTTTGTTGCTTGGAGAGTTTGAAGCACTGGGTGGTTTGGAAGGACTGACAGGCTTTCCAGCGAACACAAAACAACAATACAGTAACATTGTTTTAGCTATGTGTTATCAAAGAAACAATCCAACACATAATTCTAAATGAACGAACACGCCCTCAGCCCAAACACGGTTCCTTCCGACCCGCCGGTGGCCGGTCCAGGTACGTAGGACACGCTCACGCCATGAAGAGTGAAGGTTGGTCTCTTCTCTCCCCGCAAAGGATCCCATGGAACCTGAGACTTCACCGATAGAAGACCATGTTCCTCTCAGGTTCCATGGGTTTTATGGGACCATGTTCTATCCTCACCTGTTCCTCTCAGGTCAGATAGAGACCCAGTGCTTTGGGGTTCCATATGGTCCTCTGCAGGTGTAGGGTTTAGGGTTTAGGCGGGGTGAAGCGATGGTGTCTTTTCGTGTTCCATCGATGGCTTGGCTGGGGGGGATGAGAAATGCACACACTGGTGAGGAAGAAACCGAAGAAACCAAACAAGATCCAGAAAAAATGGCAGCCATGATCCAAACAAACTCAGGTGGGACCCGTACTTTGACAAGTTCTTGTACAAGTGCAAATTCCACTGCTGCCCAGGCGAGGGTTTCTTTCAGGACGCAAGCGGACACATCTCTTTTGGGGTGTACATTGTGTAGAGAGTCCGTGACTACACTTTGTTGCTTGAAGCAAAGCATACTGCCAGATGTTGTGGTAGACATCCTTATGACTTTGAATATGTTTGGTCATTTGCTGTTTCGGGGTTTCGTGCTACTCGTATCAGTTATCATATGTTCTAAATGTTGCCACTCATAGTGCCGCACATACACACCATCTTGTGATATGTTCATTAATCCTCTATTTTGAGGGGGGAATCCGAGATCCCCGTTCTCAATCGTTGGCCAGTGCTCGCAACAGGATGTAAAGGCTGGGCTTTGTCACCCTACATCTCAGCCTTGGCGCAGAAGGCGCAGAAGAAGAATTGCACGGGAATGGTGGGCACTTGGAGCTGGATTTCGGCTCCCATCTTGAGTTGTATGAATGTGCCGAAAGGAAAAACAAAACAAAAACACATGGGTAAAAATGCCCCTGGGGGTGGGACCAGTCCTTTGAAGCTGCAGACTGCACTCCTGTCTATCCAAAGGCCAAGGGCCAAGGGGTAGCAGTGCAAACATGTGCAACCGTCTGAAGAGGGAATGACGGGGAATGAACACAGTGCCAGGTTTCTTATGCTGAATAACGCGAGAAGATCTGAATCGCAGCTGTTTTGCATACTGTTTGAGGGAATGCTAGTCTGCTACTCTGCACAGTGTATATGAACACCAGGCGTGTTCAGATCTTCTCGCCGCGAATCAGAGCCATGTCTCACCGCCACGGTAATTATATGGCAGTGGGACGTGGGTCAATTCAATTCCTTTGGGGAAAACATAGAACAAATATTCCCATCGGTGCCCAAGCTCGCTTCAATCACTGCAGACCCTTTTTTGTGGACTGATGTTCTCCACCGGATTCCTCTTCAGAAGCAAACGCCATGCTTTCCATGTCTCTCTGGTGCTGGGGAAGCAAAAAGGGCTGAGCTTTCGACTCCACTCCTCTCGCAAAGCGGTGTTCGAGAGGTCGATCGGTGTCCATTCCGGTCGGCGAGAAGCCACTCGCCGCTCGTCGGGTTCCTCCGCTCGCTCGTTGGGAGGCGAAGATTTTGCACTTCAATGGCCGGCTGAAGCCCAGCCACGCCGGGAAGCGTGGCCTCGAGAGAGTGGCGCCACCCGGTGATCTAGGGGAGGCCGGGAGGGTGTGGCTTGAGACTGGGCTAGGTGGATGGAGGAAAAGGGGGGTCCAACAACCACGGAGATCATATTAAATATAGGAATGCCCTCTTAGGTCTGGCAATTCACAGCGGATACCTCAAGTTTGTGGCTGTTTTGGGGGTAGGGGAAGGCCTGCTTGAATGTGAATGATGTGTGGAGGTTCTTAGAGGATCTTAGAGGATATATGATATAAGGATGACTTGTTTCAAAGGAACCTTCAACAAAGAGTAATTGGCAAGGATGTATATATATATATTCCTAGAACCCATTTGACCTTTGTTTCGATAGGAAGAGACCATATATCTTTTGGGTGGTTTGTGGTCCAAAATAGAGGTCATTCAGTGAGGTTCTATAGGTATCTAATATGTTCTATTTGTTTTCCTGACCCAACGTGTTGCGGATGCTCGGGCACCGAACGTTGGGCATTTTCCACTTTGGCATCCCATCCGCGGCGCAATGCCAATGACCCATACAGTCAATGCCAATCACAGCGTATGTTTGAATCGGATTCGCTGAGCAAGCTTTGGCTCACCTGCCAGTCCAGTTGTGGCAGTTTATTGAGGGAGTTGACTGGAAGCTAGACAACAAGTTCGGTGGGAAACTGCAATTGCAAATGAAGTGATGTGGATCGAATTGGTCTTCGGTCTTCGGATTGGCCACTTGTCCCCCCTTGGATTCTTTTGGGCGAAGGATTCCCACATCGGCATAGACCGACTGAATCAGTGCAGGACGAGCGCGCTGCTCGTGAACAACGGCCGCTGTGCAGCTGTGGAAAGCAGTGCCTACAGGAGTGATCGAACGAGCTTCGCCATTGGCTGCACTGACCACACCCCAATGACCTATTTTGGACCACAAACCACCCAAAAGATAGTCTTTTCCTATCAAAACAATGTCAAATGGGTTCTATGTAGTTGGTTCAACATAGAATGCTCTAGCCACTTAATGGCAGATCATCGTCCAATGCCAGGTGCTTGGTGCATGCAATGTCGACCGACGCGTGTGCGTTTCCCGGTTCGGACCGACGCCGGTTCCGGTCGACCGACGCGTGCGACGCCAGGAGTGCGCTGGACTTTGGTGGCAGTATCTGCCGGAGTGAAAATGACATGCCAGGCTGCCCAGCAGTGTGAAGCCACTGCGAGGTGAAGAGGACAGTGATACATGTAATATTAGATCAAATATAATGTAACTGATACAACTAGTATAGTATGTATAGCAACAGATGTGCACATGTTAGTTTTGCATTTATATTTATATAATGCAGATTTGGAGGGATATCAATGTTGAAACCACTTGGCTTGACAAATCGATGGCCTCAACTTACCAGTGAATAGGTTCGACTAGGTTCTCGGATTCTTTTTGACTCTTTTTTCATTCCGGTCGATGCCTCACCTCAAAGACCAGGTACAGCCACGACTAGTGATCTAGTGATACACTCCCTGGAAGAATCATGGTTCTGTGGAAAGCACCATGGTTCCGTGGGGCCATCGAATCCACTTATCTTCGAAAGAAGGAGTGTACCTTCGCTGCAGGAGTGTCTTCTTTTCGGCAGAAGGGGTCTAAATGGAGGACGAGCTGGCTCAGAGCATCGTTCGCTTCCTGATACCCAAGAGCGACGTTCAGACAGCCATGTAAACCGAAAAAGAACGCCCTTGGATAGCAGCACGAGACAACTACCGTTTGAACTTGCATCATATATATAGGGGTTGTCCCATTACCTGTAACAGTGAGTGTAGAGCAAGGCCTGAAACTTTACTAGCCATCATCGTCCGCTGTTACTGGTAATAGAACATACCCAACATAGTACCCAACACATATATAGTTATATATATATATATGTATAGACAGAAGTGTTTTACTCTGCCACACGGGCAAGTACCTTCTTGTTCCGCATCAATTCGGCAGTACGCTGCGCCGCGCAACAAGAGCTGGAACTGATGGGCAATGTGGCCAGACTCTGAGATGGTGCCGTGCTGTTCTTTTGACCATCCAAAACTACTCCGGTTCAATTGTTTGGATCGTGAGGGAGATGGAACGACTTTCGGCCGTTATTTCGGCTAGAGTTCATGCTTTCCCAGGTCCAAGCAGACAGTTCTGAACTGTCATGCCAGAAGCACTTGTTCTCCTTGCCGGAAGGCGTGATTTCGGCCGACGTTATTGGGTTTTGGCGGATCCAACCCAAAGAAAACGTGGAAAGGTGCAAATAGTTGATAACCCTAACCCAACAGCCACACAGTAGACTGTTGGACTAGTAGACTGTTGGACAACTTGTTCTGCCGGACTGTTAGACTGTTTGAGTAATCTCCAAAAGAAGTCATCCGCAGAAGACAACCCAATTGCCGTCCAGGATTATCCACCCCACGATCCGCTACGCCTTCGTGCCGTCCGATCCGATCGCGATCCATCGCGCTGCAACAGGGGTGGTGTATCTCAATTGTGCCTCGCGATCGCCCATGCTTCGCTCAGCGTCTTGGAGGGGATGGACCCCCAACAGGGTCACCGGACCCGGACCCGTCGAGAGACGTGACCCGTGGGACGTTGATGCCGGTGAGGCCTTCCTTTTTGGTCTCAAGCGTTGGTCAGGTCATGTCAGGTCTGTTCATGTCATTTGTGTTTGCACCACGACAGGTTCTGTCGTCGTTTGTAGTGATCTTGGCCGGGTCATGGCCGGGGTGATAGCATGTGACAAGCAATGGCGGTAATGTGATGTGGGGGGGTGATATACTTGGGAGGTTCTCAAACCACAGACTCCATGGGATCTACATACTGTACATTATCATTGGGGTGGTTGAAAAGGGGTCAATGTGGGTAATTTTTCCCGGCCGTGGAAGCTGATTTCAAATCTGTCTCTCGTACTCATGAAAGTGTGGCACTAGGAACACATGATTGATCAGTTTGGTCAGTTTGGTTCATCTACAAATGTTCGAGTTGTTTTTTTGTTCGTCAAGGGCTTCCAGTTGCCAAGGTTGAAGAAATAGGTCACAAGGCGGTCTCCTTAAAGAACCATCCCTGGCGCATTGCGGATGATGGCATTGCAGACCAAGCTGCTTGGCTTCGCGTGGCTTGGAAGATGTCCTGCTAACATACTCCCATGTATCATCGGTTATATATATAATAGTATATAATTACTATACATGATCAATGATAATGCATAAAATCCGGTGCAAATGAATCCTGAATTGACACTCACCCAGCTTTATGTTCAATGGCTAGGGATATTTGGGACCCTTCTAGCTGCTTGCCAGTGCCTATCCAAAGGGTGTCAAACATGGAGATCGGATACTCCAGCCAGGACACCCCCCACTCCGGTGGTCCGCTCCGACCGCCCCCGGCCCTCGAGAAGTCAGAGCGAAACTGGCACTGAGCTGTTCTCCTATAGGGCAACGTTTGGGCATTTGGGAGAGTTCTGTAGTGCAAGATAGAAAGGGAATCCAATCCTCAGTGTTTGGCACTGAGTTTGAGGATTGACAGTCTTTTCGACCGGTTCTTTGGGACAGGCGCTCGCTGCCGGCTTCTGTATGCTTCATGCTGTAGACAGCCTAGGGTACTATTGAATGGTGGGGGGCCGTTGTCTGCCAGATGGCTGGAAGATGCTGCAAGACATCTCTTTTGACATGCATTGGTGTCCCAAAAAGTTGGACATAAATTGAACTAGACGTGTTTCAGACCAGAATCAGCATCCTGTTTGCGCAACAGATCGTTGAACCAGGCCATTTGTCTTGACCCTTATAGCTGTTTTGATCCACTCAACATGAATGGCAGAACCATCGAACATGTATGTTTACTAATTGGCATAGGGAACAAAAACAACTGCGATTCTTTTTCGTGCAGCTGGTGGTTCCCGCATCTTCAGGCCGCCTTATAGCATCGTACAGCCAGACCTCCAAACCATGTCAACATCCCTCCCTCCACGCCGTTCGACCTCCTCGTGAAAGGAGTCGTTCGACCTGCAGGTTCGAGCGCAGTTCGCCCGGCTTGTTCACTGTGATGCCAAAGATGTGGCTTTGGTGCCCTCGACCTCCTATGCGATTTCTCAGGCAGGACGAAGCTTTTTGGGCCGAGGGAGGACAGCTTAGGACCGAGGCTTGGAGGCTCGGTTTTGCTGGATCAGGTTGGCTTGTTGGATTTTAACATGTTCCAGGGACTTTTTGACCAGAGGATTTTTCACAATGTAATGACATTGTTTTTTCTTAAGTATGTTTATGTATGTGTTATTTTCAGGGATCCAGGCTAAAGTGATCCCCATGTTGAAGATGTTGGCTTCGTTTTTTTCATTGTGTCGAAGCTGTCGATGGTTTGTGCGCCCTGCGCCGCCGTACGCAGTGCAGGGCAGGAAATATTCATAAACCATCCATTTGGTTAGGAGATAGGGTCTTTTGCCAGGAGCGTTTGCAGCTGAACAAGTTTCATTTATTTGCACTTCTTGCATGCCTAGGTCAATTCTATATATAATGTTAAAGGACACTGAGAGGTCAGTGCAAGTCAACTGTGTTTGTGAGTATTTTACACCTGGAAATGGAACGACTGACTTATTTATTGTATTTATAGTTTCAAGTCTTTATGTTTTGCATCTTTTGAACACTAGATCCACTCAGAGCCTGTACTGTAGGGCTTCATTTTAACCAATTGCTTGGATTGACCAGTGCAATTCATCTGTCGACCACGTCTTCACCCGAGCCACGTCTCGTCACCATCGTTGACCAGCGTCACGGTTTCAGGTGGCTCACAACATTCTCAAGCTCGGTCACATTCGAGCAGGTGGGAGCCATGTTGGTTCTGTCGCGTTTGGGTTCTGGAAACACGTTTGTGCAGTTGACTCTTGATAGGTTGCTTTCCCTCCCCCCTCGTCAAATCCTTGAGATTCCGGAATCAAGAATGATTCTGGAAAATCCGAAAGAATTTGAAAGGAAATCAAAAGGAATCAATAGACAATCAAAAGGAAAACAAAAGGCAATCAAAAGGAAATCATAAGGAAATCAACAGCAAGTCAACAGGAATTGATATGAAATCAAAAGGACATCAAAAGGAAATCAAAAGGAACCAAAGAGAAATCACAAGAAACATGTAACTATTCTATTGAGCAAAAACTCTTGCCGGGCAAACATTTTAGATGTTATTGTAGGGGTGATATTATTCAAGATTTGGGCTTCACTGGGCTACTCTTTGTGGAATTGTTTTTTGCAGTTTTTGTACTGACTTCAATAAAGGGTGTCACAAAGAGCTGACGCACAAAAGAGTGGGATATTGGTTAAAGAACCATGTAACTATAGTATGGAGCAAAAACGTTTCCCGGACAAAAAGAGTAGATGTTTTTCTAGGGTGTGATAAGTTTCAAGATTTGAGTTTCACTGGGCTACTCACTCCCATTGTGCCATTGTTTTTTGCCATTTCCGGATAGACTTTAACAAAGGGAAGCATAAAGACATGACGCTCAAAGGTTCTGGAATTTGGACTGGGATGCTTTGGGAAAGGAACGGTTGTAAGAAAACAAAAGCAGGCATATTGTCAAAAGAAACAGGTAGCTATTCAATTGAAGATAATGTTTGTCAAAAGCCGTAGACCTTTTTCTAGGGGATGATATTAATCAAGATTTCTAGTGTACTGGGCTGCCCTCTTTGTGGAATCGATGTTTGTATTACTTTAATAAGATTAATAAAGGGAGTTAAAGGTGAAACACTGTGAAAGGTAATTAATAGAGATCGAAAGGAAACCAATAGGAATCCAAAACGAATCAACATACAGATATATAATTGAAAAAATAAGCAGAAGAAGCATAGACATTATTGTAGGGAGTGACATTATTGTAGGTGGTGTGATATTTTGGTAACATATGCTTGGAAAAATGACAAATTATACTGATTGGAAACGCATTACTTTCTATAATTAAGATAGTCAATTAATTGAACGGACATCAAGTAGGACTCCAAAGGAAGTCAAAAGGAGTCAAAAGGAAATCAAAAGGAATCAACAGGATATCAAAAAGGAATCAAAAGGAAATGAACAGGAATAAAACGGAAATCAATACTTAGGAAACAACATATATATGATTCAATTCACAATGAAGACCGTAGACATTATTGCAGGAGATGTTAATCAAATATTATTACAGCCCAATGGTGCAGACAAAAATCAGGTGGGTGAATAGTCGAAACGACAGGTGCACACACAATAACCAGAGGAGGGTAACTAATCAACAGTTAACATGAATCGTCCAAGTGCTCCAGTTGACAAGACCATCCATCACTGCATGTTCTTAAAGGATCCATTCAGCTTGGTGAACCCACTATCGGCGTGCCCCACGCGTGCCCGGGCGTGCCCCACTATGGGTGCTGGGTTGATGGTCCGGTGCTCCGGTGCTCCAAGGTGTCGGTTTGCACAGTTTCGATGTCCGGTCTTGACATGTTGGACCTGGAATATCATGGGACACCTGCCATGTATTCCACAGAATTCAAAAATATATATATATATATCTCCTGTACGATGCCGTGCTGAAGACGTAGTTCACAGCTTAAGTCAGGCTCCCATTTGAACTGCCCACATGGAGGAAGAATTGTTGAACTTGTTGGCATGCGTGCTGGTGTTTCCAGGATGTAAACAGCTGGTCACGGCCGGATCACAAAGGACTTTGCGACAGAAAGATCTGACTGTTTGGAAGATCTGACCTATGCAGACATCGCAGCCCCGAAAACCTCCTCCAGGGTCGAATGAGTTTGAATTACAGAGTGCAAACAAGTATAGAACATGTTTTTGGATTCTTTGGGGTTGGTGCCTGATGAGTTCCATTAGTTTTGATCTATCAGTAGGCCCCGCAGTCATCATCGGTGTTGTTTCAGGCGAAGCAGTCATCATTCTCCAAGATCAAATGAGTTCCAACGCTCCCTGGCGACAAGAGTTTTATGATGCGACAAGGCCCTCGTTGAATGAAGCGACAAGGCCCCTGTATGGAAAGAATCAAAACAAAGAGAATTCCTTCGCGATCACCGCAGGTTTGAGTGGCTTGAGCTGATCTGGTCATAGTGGCCTCACTTAGAGTCCTTTGGATAGAAAATGCGTTGTATATTCCTGTTTGGATCAGAGAAGGTCACTAGGGTTTGTACCTGCCGTGCCTCCGGCGACCTCTCAGCTACAGTTCGTCCAAATCTCAACCCCACTTTAAACAAAAAACGAAAGGGATCAAAAGGGATGACACAAATAAGTTAAGCGACACGGCACATGGCCGTTCGTGCCGGCTGCGCTGCTGTTTCAGTCCCACATGTTTCTGGGTATCCACGTATATCCCATTCCGAGTAACATAAGCAGCTATTCCTGTCAATCAGGATCCATAAGTAAGCTTGATTTTTTGTTTCATGCACCTTCATATACCAGCATACTTTAAACTGTATTCTTTAGTGGAACAGGTCCAAAGTCTAAATCTTGGCCTTTTGAACCTTTGTTGGTCCAATGGTTGAGTCATGAACACTCCAGCATGTTGCGGCACCATCCACACATCAGACTTGTTTTCTTTAGAAGTGACTTGTATACATCCACCTACCTCTTAGATCTCTTAGGCATTATTTGCACCCTGCCGTTGGCAATGACACATGCTTTGTCCAATTGTTTTCTATAATTGTTATTTGTCCTCACTCGTTTCTGCCTTTTGTCAAACTGATCTCATCGTCGCCTCCGCCGCCAGCCGCCGCTCTGTCTCCGCCGAGGTTTACGCCTGGCAACGCCTTTGCCGTGAGGCCTCAGCGCGGCTGGTGGCCGTGCCACGAGGACGCGTGGCACATCTGGGAGAGAGATGGGGTAGATGAGGTGGATTCCATGGCATGGAAAGACCCCGTATTATTTGAATACCAAGAATCCAAGAATAAGATTTATGGGTATTTATTCTGTGTTCCTGACATGTCGTTTATGAGATACTTGCAAGATGGTCCACTCTGGTTTGCCGGATTGATTCCTGAAGTATCCCTCAGTGTAGGGGTCACATGTCCTGTCCTGTTTGGAGTGTTCGACCCCTAAGAAGATCACTGATTCAACCGGTCGAGCCGTCGGGTTCAAAAACCGGTCGAGCCGTTGGGTTCAAGAATGATCACCCTTGTTTTGGAGGTCGGCAACCTAATGATCATCCACTGGGTGGCCATGGGAGACATACCCAACATATTGATCAATTCGAAAGAAGACACGTAGAGGATTCGAGGATCCATTCAGACCCCCTCTGAAACAAGGAAGAACCTCATTTGCCCCAAAGGGCTGATGGTCGCTTCGTCGCTTCTTGGTCTCCAAAGCCGCGTGTTTCGGTTGGATGCACCGGTCGCTTCTCTTGGAGGATCGGAATCTCAATGGAATAAAGCTTTGGAAGAGAGCATCCGTGCAGAAACTGCTGCAGGCGCCGGTCTCCTTCACTTTTCGCCGCTCCTATTTGGGGGTGATGTTGGAAATTGAGCAATCCACCTCCCCCAGCAAAGGATTGAGGGCGTTTGAGTAGAATGAGTTCTCCCAAAAGAAGAAGAAGAAGAAGAAGAAGAAGAAGAAGATGAAGATGAAGAAGAAGAAGAAGAAGAAGTAATAGTCGTAATATGTCGTAATAGTGGCGGTAGTGGTAGTTTTGGTGGTGGTAGTAGTAGTAGTAATTCAGATGCACGGATCCCAGAGGAAAGCAACAGCAGAACAATAGAACAGGGATGTGGGAAAGAATCATTTCTGTCGAAAAAGTGGGGCGTGCAAGATCCTAAACAAATGTGTTTCGCAATGTCAGCAGCAATCAGTGGGAAAAGACACATGCTTAATTGAAGTAGAACACTGGGTAATCACCCTTGTATTACTGCATACATTATGTAGCATATATTCTAAAAGACAGAACATGGAAATAACATTGTATTCAATGTTCATTCTCTTCAGGGATGAGAAAAGACATGACATGCTCAGACTCAGACATGTATCAGTACTTCAGGTTAGACGCGCTTGCTTTACCAAAGAAGTGCATGCATGGTAAATATTTGTTTGAGTTGCAAACAACACTTGCTAGAAATGCAATCAGATCGAGGCACTGATCCCTGTACTTACGAAAGAACAGTTTGCAGTTTGCACAGCCAAAAACTAGTTAGCCTTCTATTTTTGTCAGCCTCGGAACGCTTTTAGGCACCCTGAATGTTCGATGGACTTGTTGAACAAGTTGTGATATCATAGTAATAAGGCCAGGAGCCCCCTTAGGGTCCGATCGCTCCGTTGACATACTACACATGCTTTTCTTACTGCAAACATCCTATAAGGTTTTCATAGGATACTATAAGGTTTTACCTTGTATAAAAGGTGTTGACATTCTTCAAACACGCAAACAATGATTTACCCAGACACGACACATGGGACTGCCATAGGACTGCCGATCAATTGACCCCCCAAAACAACCACCCCAATGTAGGCATATTGGCATACATGGAGTGTTTGGGATATATATGAGGGCCCCCCCGTTTCAAACGTGTCGAATCATAGCGATAGACATTCCAAATGGTTGGGGTGTCCAGTCACCGCCCCAAACGTTGGGGCCTTTCTGAATCCAGACAGCCCAGCCTCGTCACCGATCACACCATCGCAGGCCATCGGATCGCTGTGTGTGCGGTGCCGCACTTCTTGTGGACCGATGGGTCTCCGGTGGATCTTCCACACTTGAGGAAGGCCGCGATCTCCACGCCCGGCCCGGTGATCGTCGTCGTGGTTCGCTCGAGGTTGCCGGCCCGGGGGGGAACCTGAAAATGTTCTGAAGTTATGGTGAAGTGTGAGTGATGCTTCAGTTCGGAGTGATGCTTCGCTGCGGGGGTCTGAAGGATGAGTGATTTTTTTCTGATGCTTCAGTGGTTAGTGAGTGATGGCTTAGGTCCTAGAGCCCTGGAGTCACGAAAAGAGGTGGGTGCTGGCCCTGGCATAAGAGGTGGGTGCCAACCATCATCCACTCTTATGGTGACAAAAAGGATCTATCCAAGACGTTCCAGGCAGGGGTCAACCCACGCAACTCATGTTGATTATCACCCATGCAAGGTCCCAAAAACGGATGGCACTAGTTAGTCCAACCCCCCAAACCCTTCGAGCTTGGGACAAAATGAACATGTCTGGCAAAATCGTGGAATGGTGGATGGGACCCGGATCCATCTTGGAGGTTTTGGCAAGATGTGATGAGCCCACCAGGTCAGGCAAGACGTGCACCCTTCAGAGTGCAAGACGACGAAGGAAAGAGCTGTGAGAATCAGTTGATGGCTGCATGTTGAACATCAACTGGCCAACTTCTTTCCAAGCAGATATATATATAACTATACCAGGACCCTCCAAGGGGTGCCCAATGGAAGCCTATAGGTAGTGTGGAGTAGTCCATTGGACACCCCTTGGAGGGTCCAGGTATAACTTTATGAACTTCTCCAATTTCTTGGAGTGAAGATCTTCAGGGACCTTCGTGCAAGGTGATGAGCTGTACTAGTAGACAATGTCATGACAATGTAATAAGTATTTATAGATCCAGAGTTTCCTGAGAGCCAGTGAGTGCAAAGATGTTGAAACAGATGGTCAATGTACGCAAGCAACTGATGGAATTTAATATAACACTACAGAAGAAGGGATACTTCTGCATGAACAGCATGGGCCAATCGGCCAATCCTACACCTTTTGTGCTCAAACAAACATTCAAAGCACTGAAGACGGATAGGAGCCAACTGAGCCAAAGTGGCAGTGGGCTACTAATTTCGACGAAGAAGAAGAAGAAAAAGAAAAACTATAACACAACAACAAGACTAACACTACTGTGCCCATACTCGTTTATTGCTCAGTAAGAAATCTTGGACCTAACCCCTCAAGACTCGTTTGATCCTCGCAGAGCATGCCAAACACATTCGATTCGTCCTTGCGTCCTTCATCGTTCGCCCTGCACCCACCAGTGCCACCAGTCGGATCTTCCTCCAAAACTGACTGGTGCTTAGCAGGGAATGAGGGAATGGATCCAATAGAATCTCTATTGGGGGCTCATTCCCTTATTCTCTATGTCAGAAAAAACACCACCTGCATTGAGTGGACCAGGACGGACTGGATCCCCTTCGATTCCGCCAGCGGGGTCGAATGGACTGCAGCTCCCGTCCACCCGGAGGTGGGGGTTGCGGGGTTGAAACCATCGAGCCGGAGGGAGATAGGGCCAGCAGCCCCCGGGAACCGGGTGACCACCGTGCGTTCGGCGGTTCGGACCTCGCTGCGCAGCTCTTGGACGACGCGGCCGGTACCGCTGCTTCGCGCTCGCTGCTGGTGGTCGACGCCACACAGTCTTTGGGTGTCTTGACGGTCGTTTCGGTGTAGGAAAAAGCAGACCCAGAAAGTGCCAGATGTGGGTTTAGAAGGGATTTCTTACTGAACCATACAAAACCACTAAAGCTTAAACCCTCAGCAAAGGAGCAGACTGGACAGCCAAGGTGTGGTTCCCATCCATGTGAAGGATTGGAAGATCGATTGGCTGGTGCCCATGGCCGCAGAAGTTTACGCGGAGCCGGTTTGGTGAGTGGATCGATTCCTAGAGGCTCCATGCCGATGGCATATTTACCCTAGACTTCCAAGACCATTTAAAAACTAATAATTGACCTGGTTTTTGTAGTGTGAAATCCCTAGTTGATTCGGTAAAGCCTATTGAATTAATGGTGGTTGGAAGCCTAGGGTTTACATTGGGTGGCAGGTGAACATAGACATCGTTCATCGTTCTGTTTAGGTTGCAGTGGGAGGTGACCACTAAGTGAGTTGGCTCGCCAGCTACCTGTTCAGATGTCCTTTTCCGAAGTCCAATCCGGCTCTGCCAGACTCTCAGGCGTGAACTTCTCCTTCCCAAGATCTGCCATCATTCTTGGTTTGGCTTCTTACCATGTTCGGTGAATTTCCCTTTCTGGTGAAAAGATATATAATATATATATGTTTGTTATGTTATGTTTTATTCCCTGGCTCCTGAAGCAAGTTACCGTCCTTGCTCATCCCCAGCACCGGAACCTCCGAACGGGTCTCCGATCCGACGGACCGTCTCACCGGGCTCCGAGACGCTGCCCGAGACCGCTCCGAGGCCTGTTCCGTGCACAAGTGGCTCTTCGGACCCTACGGACTCTCCTTGGCTGCTCGCTCGGGTCCGCGTGCGCGGTGGGAAGTGGACAGAACATCGGACGGCAGGTGTCGGAGACCAGGTTCATGATGGACCTGAGACCGAGCCCGGTCTGGACCCGAAGCAAACCCTTTTTATTGGAGGGCCTTGGAGGGCCTGGATTCTTAGGGTAGGTCATCATGCCATGTCTTAAGCAAAATGGACCAACAAAATTTCTGTTGGGAGGAAACAAAGATGTGAATTAAGTGTTCAACCAATCAAAGCCAAGACTAGGCCCTCACTGAAGACGAAGCAATTGACCTTTGTCTCCCATTCGCGGATGCAGAGGGAGGCGGGAGTCAGGTTAGTCAGGTTCAGTGGTACGACAAAATTGTCTTTGGACTTCTAGGGTTTTGTCTACTGCTTTTTCCCGCCCTACATGTTCCATCATGAATCATGTTGCATATATTTTGGTGCAGCAAAGTGGCAGACAGGCAGCAGCCCGTGTTTTGGGCGCATGTCCAAGATTGTGTAAAGGATCCTTTGCAGATAGAATGGTGTCACCAATGGGTGTGGTGAGGTCTATGCCTCTGAAGAATGGAGTAATGATGCGAAGACAGAGCCTATCGTTCAGGCTGGACTGATGAAGATTCACCGGCAAATGGAGATGCAATCACAGCTATACAGCTAGTATTCCCGATGGTTTAGGCTTTGGTTCTACCAAAAATGGCTGCACAGCATATCCATAGCTACATAACAAATAGGGTACCCGGCCCCCGCAGACTAACATGAGAATTGACCAGTGGTTTCGACCATTTTCCGAATACCAATCCCAGTGGTTTGGGGGTTCCATGTAGTCCTCTGCAGGGGAGTAGCCAGCCCCAAAACAGGGACCTTAGGGTTTATGCGGATAATCTTTGAGCGGCGAGCCGCATCGAAAAGGAAACGCAGACACCTTGTGGAATGGGATAGGCGAGGGAGTCATCCGGATGAGTCGAGCACATGGTCATTTGGTTTGTGGACACCGAGTTATATATATATATATATAGATTGTTAGTTTAGTCGCGTTGTTAAGTTAGGTTAAGTTGTGTTATATAAGTTAAGTTAAGTTAAGTTAGGTTTGGTTGAGTTAGCTAGCTAGTTAGTGAGTGAGTGAGTGAGTGAATTATTAGTTAGTTAGGTGGCTAGTTCGTTAGTTCGTCAGTGAGGTAAGTAAACAAGTATGTAAGTAAGCAACTATGTAAGTAAGTAAGGAGGGAGAGAGGGAGGGAAGGAAGGAAGGAAGGAAGGAAGGGAGTAAATAAGTAAATAAGTAAATAAGTAAGCAAGTAAGCAAGCAAGCAAGTTAGTTAGTTAGTTACGTAGTTTTAAAAGTTTAAAAAATTAGTTGGTTAGTTGCTTGGTTGGTTGCTTGGTTGCTTGGTTGCTTGGTTGCCTGGCTGGTTGGTTGGTTGCTTGCTTGCTTGCTTGCTTGGTTGGTTGGTTGGTTGGTTGGTTAATGTTAGTTGATGTTAGTTAGTTAGTTAGCTAGCTAGTTTGACGTTGTATGTCTGTGACCTTTGGTCTGCGGTCTCGGAGGGATCAAACAACCTTTTGTGTGTGTGTGTGTGCGCAAGAGAAACGGTTCTTTACGAAAGCCAGCCTTCGTAGAAGGCGCCAGCTGAGTTGTGTTGGGCGAACGAAGTGAGCAAGTAGGGGGTATGGGGGGGCCGAGAACGTACCACGTACACTCGAAATTACGTGGGGGTGGTGATGCAAGAAATGCAATTTGCATCATTTGCATCATCTGAATGGTAAGGTGTAGTTTTACAGAGGCCGATCTGTTGCAGCGTCGTGCAGCTGTGAATGCATAACCTTCTTGCACACCTATATAAGGTCAAATCACTAATGATCAATCTTCAAATCCGTGGTTATCTAGCGGTTGACGGAAAGGGAAATTAAAGTGCTATACCTGGCAACTGAATTGTATCTACCCTGGGTCCGCGCTAGCGCCTAAATCTAGGGCAGACCGGGAGCCAGCAAGGCGCGCGCACGCGGACCCAGTGTAGCTACCGTTGCACTTTTACTATCTCTCTTTACAACGTGCTCGTGGACAAAAAGCGCTGGCTTTTGCTTTGCAGTTTCTCAGGCTTTCCATTTGCCTTGCCGGCAAAGCCATTGTGTGACGACAATGTTGACAACATGCCTTACGAAGCTTGGATCCTATTCAAATCTATATATCTAAAGGTTGTTCTTCATGATGTGATGTTTCCCATTCTCTCCTTTGCAAACAGGACAGTAGCAACAGTGTTTGATTGATCCGTATTAAATTATCACGTCCTGTGATGAATGTCTACCAAAAGCATGGTGACATAGACATATGGTGACCCTTCGGTCAGGATGAGCACAACCGCCTGGGCGCGGATGGTGACGTTTGCTTGGCCTTTGACCTGGCACGCCCCGGTTACTCGGAGTCTCGGTTACTGGTGGAGTCGTGGAGTCCTGCAAAAAAAACTGACGTGGGACGTGGGACCTTCTACTTGGGGCTTTACCCTTAAGACCATCACCTGGGTTTGGATGCTGATTGGAGATCTACCCTCCGACCTGGGTGGTGCTGGTAATATCTGTCAAAAATTGGCAGTGACTCACTCTCAAGGACGGGAAGCTTCAAGGCTTTGCAGGGATGTGGTAAGAAGTTCGCATACGGCCGAGACACGTTTTCAGTTCATCCGACTGAAACAAGTAAGTGTTCACTTTTGGGTGGATGAACCCTGTCTCACGTCCATCGTTGTTGTTTTGTTTTACCGTTGGCTTGCTGAAGGGAGCAAATACACCCGGGAAGAGACCCACATGGAACCTTGAACACAAACCACCATTTTTCAGGTTCCTTGTGGGTCTCTTCCAGGGCAGATCATCATTTTGATTATTCAATCTGTCCTGTGTCCCCCAGGAAACCTTCCAGAACGGCGCCAAGAAGTTTGATGCTGGTGGGAGGATGAATCCGATTCTTTTGCCAATGGTTGCTGGGGCCCTTGAACAGGCACTACGTGGGTCTGGAGCCGCTGGAAGAAGCAAGCTTGGAGCGAGCAAGTAAGACCCACAAACCGGTGAACCGAAATAGAAGTCTCAAAAAAATATGTGTTTTTTCATGTATCTTCCGTCGATGCAACAAAGTGCAGTGTACAGCACAAAACTGTTCAAAAGACTCGCAGTCGTGGGGTGGTAGGACCTTCTAGCAGATGCTCAACTACTCCTAACCAAGCTAACTAGGACCAACAGACTAGCAAAAAGAACAGACTTTGATTGGATCCCATTTGTTCAACAAAGTAGCTTTGCAGATGGCATTTCTCTTTGTCTTCAACTTGATCTAAAACCATTCCCAACACCGCAATGAAGAACCGGTGGTATGGAGCTTAGGGGTGTCCCTGGGTCGCTGTCGAATCCACTTACTCGATGGGACGAGCCACACCACGCCCGAGCCCAACCGAGAGCGAGCGGTTCCCGCGGTCCGCGGTTCCCGCCCGAAGGTGCTCCAATGGCAGCCCGAGCGCATCGCTGCGAAGCTTGAAGTCCTGACGTCACTGGACCGTTGGACGTACGTGGGGGACGTGGAGGGCGAGAAGAAACATGAAGAAACACTGGTTCGAAAAGGTGTTTTTGCACAACAGTCTTCAGGACCAGTTCATTTAGTTTCTGTTTTTTTGGTTTTGAGATCCATATATAAGCAAAAGATGGGCAACTGCTGCATCCGTCACTGTATCACAGTCTTGTTTGAGCAACGGTTGGGAGAAATGCCAGACATCGGCGCGAACAAAGAACTGATATGCGATCCTTCGTTCCTCGCGATGCGAATCATGGATCAGATCATAATGAAAACATGTATTAAAGCTATTTAAATCAAAAACAACTCCAGACATTTGAGGAACTTTCTTATTACCCTTTCAGGCCCGCGTCGAAGTCGTCGGTGTTACCCATGGATCATGTCACGGAGGCTTCCATGGACCTGGAAAAGCTGCCTCGGGAAAAGGACTCGATAACATATATCATAACCCAAATCCTTTTGTGAGTGTTCATCGACCTTTTCCAGGACTTAGAAGAGTTTTTGGTTCTTTGGGACTTGAAGGTTTTGGATATTTTTGGATGGTTCCTTCAGTTTCTTCCCAAGCGTACTATGGGGTGTTACACTCTTAAGACGAGTAAAACCGGTGTCATCCACACCGCCATGGAACCCGCGCTGGCAGGCGTCGCTGCGCGGCCGCTGCACGGGCCTTGGGGCTGCAGGTGCTGCCGCATGCGCCGCATTTCTTGGGGATCCGGCCACCTGTCGGGCAGGTGCCACTCGGGTTGTGGGCTGCAGACGCTGGAAGTCAGAAGTGAGATGATGCGAATGTGTCACATGGCGTGTGTCAGGACGGTGTGTCACATGGCCATAGGGGGGGAGTGCCACTGGTCAAAGAGGCATATATAGGGAGATGCAGGAAATCAGTGCAAGGACCGCAGCCGGAGGGTTTTTCACCTTTTGACCGGCTGCGTGGCCTGGCAGCGAGGGGTGTGATGGCACAGGGACACCGGGTGCACGGCCATTTTGGATTGTGAAGTAGTTGATGGACTTGGATATCGAGGGAAGTTGACGATCTGAATTCATGTTACACCCTGGTAGACTGGTTAGAAGAGGAAAACCATCTTCCAGGGGTCATTGTCAGGGTCTATGTTAGTTTTCGAGAGTGTATACCTGGATGAGTGTTCTTTGTTCAATCTGCGGCGTGAAAAACATCTTTTGGAGTCACAGCTTTATATTAGAGTTTGCGTGATGTTTTCTGATATTCCACGGGCGTTTATACCCAAATTATAAGGGCATTGGTGAGCCACAGGCATTTTTTTCCCGAACGTGTTCTTTAAGCGGATGTCTATTTCGGTTGCGGATGCTTATGTGGTTCACAGACCTAAATAACGGTATGTTGAACTACCGACAAAAAGAGGCAACCACGCGGTTGCAGGTATATAACATGTAAGACTATGTATAACGTTCTGTACATGTCCGTCTCCCGTGTGGCAGGAGTTTTCGGACGCTTGGGCTGATGCCGCTGCGGGATACTTGAAGGAACATGGCACCTGGCTACAAAAATATGTATGACGCACTTGATGTGGCATGTCCACGCCAAATCACTTTGTTTGGTGCATGGGTTTAGGGTTCCTGTGCCAAACCACCAAACGAACCGCTTGTGGCGACAAAACCCCGAGGTGGATTTGGATCCCCGCCAATGGCTGGCCTCGTTTGATTTGATACGCCTAGGGCTTTGATTTTTTGCTGCTTTGGAGGCATCGGCACGCCTAGGCATCCACGTCTCATCCCGCGCTGGCTGTCTTCGTGTGGCGCCGCATTTGTACAACACCGAAGAGGACATTGATATGCTGCTGGATGCTCTTGATCGTTTTCAAAGCCACAACGTGGCTCAGACATGACACGAGTTCGTTCATGGATGTCTGGCCATGTTGAGGATGAAGGACAAAAGCTGCCGGTGGCCCCTGGTGGTACCTGTTTGATTTGCGTCACTCTTCAAAGCTTCTTTGTTGGAGAGACTTCCGCAACACGTGCCTTGTATATAACAATATACACAAGATAGGTTCCATTACCTCACAGTACTCTGAGAATGAGGTGTTCTCTAGGTCTAGCTTCATTAAAGACATTCTGGAGCTTCGCTTGAGATATTTATTCAAGATTCCAACTGAGTCTGAACTGTTTGTCACATGAACATGCAATGCTTCTGAGTGCTGATTCATGGTTAGCTGAGGCAAGCTGTAGGGCTTGAAAGTGAAATGATTCTTCTTTGAAAGGCAAGAGAGGCAAGAACCATTCCGCGGGTTGCTGTGCCCTCTGCTGTCACCCACGGGTCCAAGACCGCCATTTGGTTGGTTTCCGGTCTGTAGTCTGGAACGGTGACCCGAGTGCAGGAATTGCCTTGACTTCAGTGGTACAAAACAAATGGTTTTTGGACTTCTAGGGTGTACATATGATATGTATTTGTGTGTGAAAGATGTGCACCGAGACTGGTGACCCTCTCCATGTTCTTTTCTCCAAATTCGCATAGGAAGCAAAATAGTATAAACACGTTGATCCATGGAAGCATGTCAAACAGAGTTTGCACACCCTGGGATTCCATCAAAATAAATTCATGGTCTTTACCAAGCAACAAACACACAAAACGGCAGTTTTACTATGTTTTACCAAGGAATTTACACTACAAAACCAGGTCAACCATGTGTTGAATGGTCTTGGAAGGCCAAAACACAGCTTTGGAAACCAGAAAACCCACCCACGCCGACCTGACACCCTCCGCATCCTGCCCTCCAAGGCGCCGACCGGACCATGTCCGAGCCGTGAAAAGGAGCGTCCGAGTGGTGACTCCATGGGGTTTGGCGCAGGACACCGACCTGCTTCGTTGGAGTGTAGATGGTGGTGTGTTCACGGACCGTACTTGGTGTAGACGGATGACGGGAATGAGTCTCCTGAGTCCAAGACCGTTTTCAAGGGTCTTTAGACCCGAAAAGGATCGTTCTTTTACTTCAGTTGTACAATAAAAATAGTCTTTACGTTGGAATTCTAGGGAATCAACACCCCAAACATCGAGTTGCAAAAACGGAGACCTGGGGTTCTCACCAAACGGGTCGGGTTGGATTGCAAACCAAACGTCGACCGAGACCTGGGTCACATCCGATATCCATCGATGCGAAATCTCGATGTCTGGAAGATGAATGATGGGGGACGGGGGGTGGTTTGGTCATGTTTTGTCTCAGTATTCTCCAGTGATTCTGATTCAAAGAACAAATCACCTCACAAGAATGGTTCCTGACCCAAACGTTGCTTTTCTTGTCCCAGGGGGAGACAGTCTGAGACAGTGGTGAGCACACCCATTTGCAGCTCCATTTCGCACCGCGCACGGGGAACCGCAGTGGCAGTGGCTGTGTTTGGGACAGCAAAGCTGGGCCGCGAAGCCTTGTTGAGGGGTGAGGCAGGAGCGACACCGAACGGCATGGAGGAAGACTATATAATATCAGGTTTTGGACCCGTGAGAAATGTGAGAATCAGTCCATGTTTCATGCTTCTTCATGATAAATAGTTTTTGCCGTGTTTTCGCGCGCGCGCGTGTGAGAGAGAGATCTCATGCTTCTTGGCCCCGAACCAATTGGTTGCTTGATGTTTCTGTAGGGGTGCTCGCTTGGTCCCGTAGAGGGGGGTGAAGATCTTGTTGTTTTTTGGTGGATGACGTAAACACTCTGACTCACTCACATGGATCAGTGAACCAATCTTTGTTCGTTTAGGGCGGCAGAACGGTCATCCAAGGGTACCATGCCATCCACTTGGTGAGTGAGATCTTGATGCCTTCACCGGAGACGACGTGGCTCCCGGCGCCGAAAAGAGCGCTGATCACCAGTGCATGGAGCTCCCGCTTCGGCCATGCGGGGGGCGGAGCTTTCCATCCATAGTCCAAAACATGCCAAAACACTCCATGGGACCAGAAGATTGACCTATACATGGACCCCCTTTTCAAGCACCCCAATGTCTGAATAGAGATGGGAGCCATGGAGTGTCTGGGAGATTCTTACATCAATTCCTATCGCTTCCCAAAATGATTACAGCAGGCCGTCCATCACATGTGTATATATATATAATACATATTGGGAACCTTGAGAGATGTTCTCCAAAGAGAAATGCAGGTATGCGATGGCAGCCATGTGACCAGAACTTGAGCTTCCGCGACACCTGGCATTGGCTCCCACGCGAAGAGGAGGAGGAGCTTGCTTTGCTTTTGATGAACACAACCAAGTACACATGCAGGCGAATGGCACGCTTTGACTACCTTGCACAGCCAGACACCGTGTTCTTTCCTTTGTTCCACGTAACCATGTTGATGTATTTGTATATCGGACGTGAATTGGTTGATCGAGCCTGAGCTGTGGGAGTACCGTGCCCCTTCCAACAGACGTTGCGCCATCCGAGTCACCGATTCGAAACCGGTTTGAAGGAGCCCTAGTTCGACTATCCCATAGCTACTGCAGGTGACGGGTCCTAGTTCAGGTCACTTAGCCTCTCATGGATTCTGGCCACTCTTCAACATATAATCGATCCTTCCTGACTTCAGATCTGTCGATTGGGTGGACTGGAAGGCCCAGTGGCCCAGTGCATGGCCTATATATAGTGAGGAGAGTATCGTTTTTTGTTTGAGTTCAGTCCTCAATAAAGGTTAACATACATCGCACGCTGAGCTTTCCGGAAACCGTTTTTTTCCGATATCTGTAGATGTTCCCTTTAACATCCTTAAAGAGGTATCTGTCATTGTTTTGTTCCGATCTTTGTAACACATTTTTCTGCGATGCCAGTGCTGTTGGCTGCAGGAGCTCTTAGAGCCAATTAGCCTGAAAGAGGCTGCCGTGGCGGTCGACTCGGGCCGAAAATCATGGCATCAGGTGTCAATTGGGGGGAAAATATATGTATAGACAGTATAGATGGTGTACATATATATAGTCATATATATATATATTATGTTTATTTATTTATATTAGCAGTGGTTTTGTGCTTCTAGATTCTAGTTGGCTTTCAGGGCTGTAGCGGGGCTCTACTTGTTCAACAAATGTGGAAGTGAACATAGACCTAATGTGTCCAGGTCACCTATTTGGAATGTGCAAACAAAACATGCCAAGTATATGAACTAAAGAAAGGGTTTCTTATCATGCAAGAACACAGCCCAACGTGTTGCATCGGCTTCTTGGAGTCGTAGGGCGGTTCCCCCTAATGGAGCGGACGAGCTGACGGTGAACGGAGGCCTTGGAGGAACTCCTAGACTGCCACAAGCGCTTTGATCCAAGCTGCTGGGCATGTGACTCGCTGCTGATCAAGGGTGTTTGAAAGACATTGGTCGGTGGGGAAAGCAGCTGGGTGGAGTGTTTCAAAGCTGGGACGAGGTGTGGCCCTGCTCATGCTTGTTGGTGCCGAAAAGGTGCTAAATATGGACAAGGATCAAGTTACAGAAGTTGTTCAACCTACAGATCTGATAAGATCTGCAGGAGTGTTCAGCTCTATTGTAGCCAGTTTTGGCGAATGAGGCTCCCCAAAGGGGCTGATCGTCCAACCCTGCAGCAACGAAACCAAATTCAGATTGGTTTGCGACGGGGCCAGCATAAAGTCATATTGCCATGAAACTATTGTGCGTTGCAAGCGCTGGCCGGCATCCTTTTGATGTCAATGCTGTCACAGCATTGGGCCCCAAAAGCAACGCTGTGCTATATTGGACCAGATGCTATGGGTTTGCTTTGAAAGGACTTATTTGTCTTGGACTTGAATGTGTCAGCAAATCACAATCAGAGCTTCTCAAGCTGCTATCTATTTGCAAGGGCTATCAGACTTTGATCAGCCACAAATGTCCCTGCTCATCTCGACTTGGCTCGGCTAAACCTGTGGATAAGCCAGACGCTTTCAGGTACCATGGACGAGGAGGTGGTTTCAAGCGCGGCGAGCGTGGTGACCACCCAGCAAGGCATGTGGCACGGCGGTGCAACTTGCTTCGGGGCATCGGGACGTGGGGTAAATCAGATTTACAAAAATTACATGCATCTAACACCTACTGAGATCCTTCGAACCTATGAATGGCTACTCTGAAGAGAGTGCATGACATCGACCCTTGAAACCTTAGACGCATTTGCAGCATTGAGAAAAATACATGTGATTTCATGTCGTGTGTGTGTGTGTGTGCTTGCCTTGTTTTTCTTGTTTTTTCGATGTTTTTTTTCTCAATCGTCAAATCGGAAAAACCATGCTCACTCTTCTCGGTGGCGGCGATGCAATGTCCCCGCCTCCCTGGGTGCCGAATTGGGGCTCCTTCGAAGCTGCGGTGCCAGGAGGGTTCCAGTCATACCTTCGTGCCAGGTACGACTGGAGCCCTACATGTAGAGGGACCTGGATATTTTTACCATGGTCTTCGAACAAGCCGGCACGTTGAATCGCTGGGCACCAGGCATCGTTCCGTTTTGATCCGAAGGCATCCGAAGGCATCGTTCTGTTTCCACCAGGGTAGGTGCCTTTCGAGTGAGTCCTTTCGGGCCCTAAGGGCCCTGGAAGTTGCAGCGAAAGTGGCTTCAAAAGGCCGAAATCCGCACAAAACCAAAGAATTGCTCCCATCTTGGTTCCATGCATCCAGAATTGGCCGTGCTGAAGGTATTCAAGAATGACATGAATCCTTTCAAGATCAATATTTATTGTATATAGACCGGCCTGGCTGTTTTGGGGGTGGGCCGCCAAAGGTGGGCAGTGAGGGGCCCAACTGCCGATCTCTATGATATTTGCCATATACTTGCTATACAATATTGCTATGCATATACGTGTATACATACATACGTACACACCTAGAACCCATTTGACCGTTGTTTTCATGGGAAACGGGAAAAGACCATGTTTAGGATCCAAAACATGGGTCGCTCAGGCTATAATAAATAATATAAACAACATATTATACAACACCCCCAGGTCACAAGTTTGCATGTTTTTTCCCGACAGGGTGAACAAACAGACACGGATTTGGTTCGTGAGGAAGCTTTGCAACACAGTTCTTTATTGGCGATGACGACTCGAGCCTTGGACATGTTGCTGCGAGGGGTCCATGAGCGGTGCGACGGTGACGGCTGAGAGTGTGGGTACACCTCAGGATCGCGGAGCTTGAAGAATCGGGAGTTCCCCAAGCGCTTGGGGGGAAGGCGCTTGGTTCTAAGCTATAGAGTCACCATGGGGTGTGTGTTTTTCCCTGCAACGAATCAATGTGTCAGCACATTCAGAAGTCAATTGGGTGATTCTTGTATGTTTGCGAGCAGCCGGATCCAGATTGATGGGCCTGCATATGCTCAGGGGTCCTCCATAGACCGATTTGTTAACATGTTGTTTTGGTGATTCTTGCTATATCCTTTCATATTTCTATGACACCCTGGTAGCAGTTCAGCGGTGGTGTTGCCCTGAGCATGTGAATGCAAGTCTGCGTATAGGCGCACCCTAAAACCGAGCAAATCCCGGTTTTCATGAGTGGACTCTGGTTCCAGGACCTCAGGATGCTGGTGCACCAACGTGGATCATGGACAGAGAATCCCCGTCATACTCCAATTCCTGGCAGAGCTACTAGGGGCTCCTGGAGCAAGAACGCTATCCCTAGTCCTCCAAAGGACCTGCTCAGAAAGGATTTCCTTCCCAAGTCCTTCCTCAAAAGGTGTTAGCCCCAAAGACCATGCTCAGGAAGTACTTGGGACACACCTGGTTTTGGGAGTCTGGAGGGGGCACATGAAAAAGGCCGTGCAAGCCGCGCAAGTAAGGTTTTTGCCAGGGCATGAGTCCAACAACACATGCCATTGCATGCACTCACCAACCCGTGCAACTCATCTAATTGCTCCGGCCACCCAGATGGACACAATGCTGGTGAAGCCTTAGATCCAAATCGTGCGGGTCAGAAGCAACATTGCATGGAATAACCCGCACCTAGATTAATGGGCAAAGCATATTCAACAAAAAACTCCAAGACAAGAGGCCCCATGTAAAAGCGAGCGAGAACAGCCCCTTCCAAGGCATTTTTGCTACATTGGGCAGCTAGGGAGGCAAGACGGCCCACATAGTCTTCAGTTCGAAAGGCGTGATAGAACCGGGAGTTCTCACCTGTTCATGGGTAGTGCTGGTCCCACACCACCATTAAAAGACTACCAGTCAGGTACCGCACAGAAAATAGAAACATATGTACGATATTTACTCGAAGTTACCATCGATCTCCTCAGCATAGAGGATCTCTTGCCATCCCTGCACATGATCAGCTTACAGGTCAGACCCCACATTTGTTTTCAGTGTCAAAAGTCAAAAATGGGCAAATCAAATGATATAGCAAAAGACCAGTGCAGATGGGGTACATGGAACTTGGGCCTTGCTGGCCACCGCAGTTTTCTGGCAGCAACAGCACGGTGGGCCAATTGAATATAGGCTGCCATGGACCGATCCTTGGCTGGCAGCATAACTTACATAGTATATAGTGAACACATGTGCAAACCCACCTCACATACACAAAAACAACATAACACAACGAACAACTTACAGAGGCTCAGGTCAACCCAGCACCAAACGGTTCTCTTAGAGGGTCCCCCCCAGTTACCCTATCTGATTGGTTGACCTGTGCCCCATATCTAATAATGTGCTTTATTGGTTTCACACGCCTCGCGAAACTCAGCCAGAGCCTGCCCGGATGGGAATCGTCCGCACCGCTCGTGAAGGTCAAACCACTTTGCCAAGAAAAACCTCGCTCATTCTCAAGCTCACTATACATGAAGCTTCCAGAGCAGGGTCTTTGGAGTGAACCTCTATTGGGAATCCTTTCTGAGCAGGGACTGGGGCAACAAGGTGCTACACCTAGCCTGTCATGCCAGTTGATTGAAAGTCAAGTGGCACACACGTTGTCATCAGGCAGAAGTCTTCATCATCTCTGTAGTCTGTCACTGCAGCAACAAGTTCTTGACAAAGCCAGGCTGTAACAACCCGAGCCTGGGATAGTGTAGTCGCAGGGACCAAGAGGCACATTGCGGTTATAATCAATTGGGTCCACAAAACTTTGGTTAGGAGGTCTCAGTGTACATAGTAGCCACCAACTTACAAACTCCTTGAAAACCACGGCCCCCTACGTTTGGGCAAATGGCGTTGTGCGCTTTTGCCTGGAGCTCTGCAAATGGGTGCTGGCAAGATCGGTTTCGCTTCTTGCAGAATCTGGGCTGGGAATGCCTCGGCTTAAGGCCAAATGGCTTGGGGGTCCATATATATATATATATATCTAGACCTCTAGCTTCTCTTTGAGGTGCACAACAGGTAAAAGAAAATATAAAACATCATAGTTAAATTGCTGGATTTTGTTGAGGCGTGTCCATGCTCGAAAGTGTTCGTAGCCAATGGCATACCTGTCATCCACATCTGACGATGTCCCCCAAAGAGATGTATCTTCCACAATTGTTTGAAGGATTCCACCACATACCCATAAAGCTACGCCCAAGTTCAAGCAGTGCATCGAGCACCACTTCACCATGGTCGGGCAGAAGTGTGGAAGCTGGGTCAGTGGACCTTAGGAGGTCATGGCCACAAGTACATGTACAAGCATATGCAATATACATATAACATTGCAGGGTTGCGTACAAAAGTTAATGCAACACCTGTTCACATGTGGCAACAGCCAGCAAGCTATCCAACTCTTTGTGCTTGCAAGATACTCTTGGGTCCATGCTTGGTGCACTCGCTCATGAAAGTTTGAGAGGTATGTCTAAAAGAACCGGAAAGTGACGACGGGGCTGTCATGCAATCCACTTTCTTCATGCGACACTGGTGGCAAACCTGGTTGCAGTTGTAGCCAACAGAAAGGTTGAGCCACTCCTCAGCATTCAAACAAGTCGACATTCACATGGGATGTGATGCACTGGGTTTGGATTTGCTATCAAACACTAATCATGTACCCGAGGATGTGGAACTAGCCTAGCCTCCCCAAATCACGGTTCAATTAGTAGCGCAAGTGTCTCTTTGAAACTTCCAATCGCCCCTGATTTGGGTGATTGCAGCGTGCAGCACCATATCCACATGTTGATGAATCCGCACGCCCCTGAGAAGATGGTCCATGGATGCTACTACCTCAGCTGAGGATTAGCGGCCCTGCGGCAGAAAGGTATCCTGGCAATATAAAACTTGCTGTGTTGGGCAAGGAACTGGCTGGAGCAAAGCGTAAAGAGTAGGGAATCCCAAGGACAGAACCTGCAGTCATTGCACCGTAGGGGTTGATTCATCACTCATGCAACCCTGGAATATTATGGTCAGACTGCCTGGAGATGGATATGGTCCCCCACCCAACTTGTCACGGTTTCGAAAAAAGGGCACATCTGTGCAAAGCCTACAAATGAGCTCAAATCAAGGAGCTTCTCTGATAGTCCAGAGTGGGAAGACAGTCTCCATACTGAATGTACGCTCATCCAAAACACATCCCATGACAGCAACCACTAATTTTTCGTGGGATTCATTGTACTCAGCATCGTCTGCCCAAAGGTACATGGGAAGGCATTTGTGCTGAATGCCATCAGCGACAGACGCCCAGCTACTGCCATGAGATTTGTGATGCTCCCAATAGCCACGAACATAGTCCACCGGGAATTCTGGTAGCACTTTGTTTCGACGAAGCCACGGGAGTAGCTCATGGGGTAGTGCCACAGGAAATTTCCTCCCAAGGCTCCGATATATACATATATATATACTATATATATATGTGTTATATATCTAAAACAAAACCTTGTAAATCCCAAATACGGATTTCCCAACTTTGGTTGTGGTTTTGACCAGTCCTGGACTCCATCCCCTGCACTCCCCTTTCCTTCCGAACCGGAACTTCGACCATGTGGACTGGTACCTGACTGGTGCCAAAGATCCATTGGCCATATGGCCAGTCACATCGACCGATCGAGTGTCCCGAATGAGTGTCCGACAAGAGTGTCCCGCTGTTCAGCAAGAGTGTCCCACAACAGTGTTCAGCAAGAGCGTCCCACAACAGTGTTCAGCAAGAGTGT